CAGTAAGTAAGATTCATGATTTTTCAGAAGAGTCCAATATGTATAGTCATAGCAAGTCGTATCATGGTGTTTTATGTTGGTTCGGTCGAAGGTAGTCGTTAAACGGCCGGTAAAGGGCCGGTAGTGGCCAAGCTGTCCGCACAGTGCGGCAGCCACGCCCAGTCAGGCACGCCAGCGTGCGGTAACGCACGCCAGCGCGCAGCAGTGCGTCGTTAGCCTCGGCAGCAGCCTGTGCGAATAGCCAGCATCGCGGCAGTGCACAGCGCACGACCGCAGCGTCCCCTTGCACGTCAATAATACCAACCGCAAGTTGTGGGGTGCAATAGCACCCGATAGTCATGTTCAGTGCATGCAACGAACACGCTATTGCCCAGCGTCGTGTTTGCGATGCACCAGTCACGCGTTTGTCACGCAGGCCGGGCCTAGTAGTCGCCAGCGTGCATAGCAGCCAAGTTCATGTACCGTTCACGCCCAGCGGCCAGTGCAGCGGCCAGTCCAGGCAGCAACCGCGCACGCGGCCTTGATAGGCCCGCTGGCCGAGTCAGTCGTCGACCGCCCGGTCCGAGCAGACCGGCAGTCCTGTCAGACCGGTTCAGACCGGTTTATTCTAGATTTTAATATTTTCAGTCCCGGTTCATATTCAGGTCCCATTTTCAGTTAAATTCCGAGTCCAGATCAGTTCAATAAATTCATGTCAGTCCAGTTCTGAGTTTAGTCAGTTCCGGTTATACCGGTTAAAGTTCAGATATCATGTTTAAGTCCAGTAGAGCATCTTAACATGTTAATCAGCTATTTTATCAGTCTGAGCATAGGAATTAGTAATTGTTTATATTATTTTCAGTTTGATCAGGATGCAGATATCAGCACTTACATTTTCAGATCAGCAGTTCAGGTGGGGACTCAGACTAAGTACTACATTGTTTATAATTGCTCTACCATGTTCGAGGTATGTATTTTCAGTAACCACTCGGGATGGTCGCCGGTCCATTCTGGGTTCTAGTGGCCCTAGTCTGCCCACTAGAGTGTGCACATGGTGTCCGGTTCGCCGGCAGATGTTCAGTTTCAGATGTGACTTCGGTCACTACTGTGACGCCCCGTTTGTTTATAAATATTTTGGATTATTGTTATTATTATTATTACTATATTTATCATTATTTGTGGCTTATATTATTATTAATAATTAATTGCCTAAATGCTAAAGTGATTTTATGTGCTTAATTGT